AAATAAATAAATAAATAAACACAGCAACCCCACCCTTCCACTCCCTCTGGAAGAGAGCCCTTTGATCCAACCGGTAGGGTTGGGCTCATTATTGGTTACAAGCAGCCTACAACTTATGGGGTACCTACAACAGCCATCACGGCACTGCAATGATGCTCGTCGGAAAGCCCATAGGGACTCCCATCTGCTCGCCTCCGTGAGCTGACTGAAGATTCATTGTTGTGCCAATAACGCCACAGACTGCTCGGCACATCCCACGATCCCATGGTGATAAGACTTAGCCGGTTTCACAGGAAAATGAACAGAACAAGTGAAAAGAAAAGAATGAACTTTGAGACACGACTTATCCTTTCTCACCTGGGCAACAGGAATCGGTGTACAGGTACTCTAAAAATGAGAGGAAAGTCTCTTTGGAAACACCGTAAACTGGAATCAAAACACTCTTTGCTTCCATGTAATTACCATTAAACATGGCTGCCATCACTTCACAACGGGCCACCAGGATGGCCCTGTGGGCTGGTACTGTTGCACCTGCAAGAGCCAAAAGAGAAACAGTGGTAACAAGTAGCTAGGTAAGAGAAATACTCAGTGTGCTTCTTCTAGCAAGGTTCCCTCTCCTTAGGCAGAAAAACTCTCAAACTCTCTGCCACCAAGTCAGTGCTGACTCACAGCAGCCCCCTGCAGGTTCTGAGATGGTAACTGTTGATGGGCGTAGAGTCTCCAGTCTTTCCCCCATGGAGCTGCTGGTGGTTTTGAACTGCCGACCAAGTGGATCACAGCCCAACACGTAACCACTACACCATCCATGGACAAACCAAGTTGAAGACTAAATCAGAGATAAGTGAGACCAAACTCAACCTGGAAGGAAATGCTAACGTTTTGGTTTTTAAATGAAAAAGGAGAGTTCAAAAGTTGAACACTTTACAATTATTAGTTACTGATTTGATTTCCTGAAAATAGAGGAACTCGGGTAACATATTTGTCCTTCATGTTTTTATAGTGAAACACTTTCCCTTTCCGACCGGCCCACGTGCCTCCCAAGAAAACACCCTCACCCTTCTTGGTCGTGCTCAGAGCACAGTTCTGGCCAGGCTTCCTCTTATTAGGAACAGAAAACGAAGATGCAAACTGCTCTAGACCTCGGTGGTCCGTCGATCACAGCCGGAAGGACGAGAGGATTCTCCTGAATCTTGTGGAGTCATGAAGAGCATTTCAGAACTTAGGGAACATTTGGAGGGACAGGAGCACAGCACCCTCGCTGCCTCCCTAGGGGACCTCTCTTTCCTACACAAACCGCATCAGCTTCGGAGAGAGCTGGAGCAATTTGGACCGTAAACGGCCCCTCAGCCTGTACACCTCACTGAGCTCGTTAAACTGAGGCTCCCACACGGGTGGGAAACTAGCACTGAGGGAACCATGACGAGGGCTGTATTCCCTCACGTACAACAGAGGGGATCTGGGACACTGGTATTCCACGGTAGGAGAGCCTCCACTTTGGTAAGTTAGAGGTAAAGTCCAAGTGCATTCTCCTGCTTTAAGTATCCCCACAGATTCTCCCCTTAACAGCTGTGCTGCCTTAAAATGAGCACACAGTTGATTTTATCTCCCGATAGAAGCAGACATCCTTTTGCTATGTCCTCCTGCTATGTCACCCAGCCACCTTGTAGGTATTCGGTTTCCTCACCTATGAGCTCAGGGACCTTAATGTAGAATCCACTCACCTGGTAACACATGTAACTTCTGAATGTGCATGTCTCTGGCTACCTATAAATGTCTCAACATAGTAAAGGTGCTCTCTCTCTCTTCTCCCAGTTCCATGTGGACCCTCAAGAGGAGCTGAGGTGGCCATGCTGCCATAAACGCATCTGACTCCTTGATTTTATTCTCTCTCCTGTCTTTCCTGTCCTCTATGATGTACTATGAGCTTCATATCGGATCGCTGTACAACTGCGCCTACGGGCCTTTGGTCGCTGGTGGCTGGCTTCCTCTGATACGTGAGGTACAGCTTGGGAAGCTTCCCCGGGACTGCTCCAAAGCACAGCGCCACTGCAGACGGGCAGGCAGGCAGGCAGGCAGGCAGGCAGGCGTGGCGCTAACCACTGGGGCCTCTTCAGGAAACCACGCGTCCACATTGGGAGCTTTCCGTTCAGGCTAGAATTGCTCAATAGATCTTTATTAAACACCCACCATCTTGGGAACTAAAGAGACAAAGACGAGGAAACTTTGGGGCAGGCAAAGCTTCTAGTGCAGTAGAAAATCCCACAGGCAGTGCAAGGGACAAAGCTCATACACTTCCAGAAAGCAACTCTCTGAGCCAAACCAACCATTGTTCTGCCGGAGTGCTCACCTACACATCCCTACAATCGCCTGCTTATCAAGGGCACCAATTATTCTCTAAAACACTCACAACTGAGTACTCCATTCCCTTTAAACCCAAGCAAGGCCTTTCCTGGCTTAGGAAGGAAGAAAAGGGTTCTTTCTTCAAAGCCACTCATCCCTCCGGATCCACAAAGAAGCACTACCTGATCGAGCCATATCTGCTTACACTGTGATGAGCCTAACCACACTGCTCCCCACCACCAGCAGGGTCCCTGCCCCGCCTCGCTGCCCGGCTCCTCCTCACCTGCCCTGGCACTCAAGGCAGTGTTACACCACCCATCGGTGCCAGGGGACAGGGTTCCCATGAACCCTCCCAGCACTCGTCTCTACATGATCTGTAGGAGGGGGCTGCAAAGAGTTCATAAAAAAAAAAAAGAAAATCCCAGTATCTTTTCATTCTATTTTCCCATGAACTTTGGGAAGCCCCCTCAGACATGGTGATTAACAAGCAACTCAAATAAGTAAACATTTGACTTATAATTTTAAGGTTTTTAAAATATTCAATAGGGTACCATGAAAAAGAAAGGAAGGAAAATTACAAGTAGGTTTTAAACAACCTAAATAGCCTATCATTTGAGTATAGAAAAAACATCATCGGGATATAGGATAGGGCAGGGGGATGGCATTTTAGAAGTAAGCGTGACAGTCGAACTGAGCTGTCCAGGTAATCACTGTGGTTAAAGAGCACCAGCCGAACCCTCCATGCCCTGATGTATTCCTAAACCTTCTCAGGCTTGCAATTTAGTTTGAAGAGTCCTTACATGTTAGGCTAAGCCACAGCCTTCTCAGGCTGGGGATCGAGGGACCCTTTCACAGGGGCCACCCGGTTCATAACAGTAGCAAAATGATAGTGATGAAGTAGCAATGAAAATAATGTCATGGTTGGGGTTCACCACAACATGAGGAACTATATTAAAGGCTGAGAACCGCTGGACTCAGAGAACATCAACTTCAATTTTCCACCCTTCCAGGCTGCTGTTTTGGTGTTATAAACGTTCGATTATGAAATTGTACCGTACCTCAGTATAGTCTTGTTTTTACACACTACATATAAAAATATGCTGAATCAAGAAAATGGAGTGTTTATATACCAGTCAGCAATAGGATACAGCTGCAGAATTCCTTCAGGGACAAAGTCATATTTTTGCTTTTGTTTTTTTGTATAATTAGATTCGACACTGGGTACCACAAGATACCGCCACAAGACATCAATTTTCTAGTTAAAAGATAAACATGTACTTTGAAAATGTCAAGGCCCCAAATTCTCTTTTCTTCTTTCCTTTCTTTGCTGTTACAATTTAAAGGAAATTTTTATAAGGGAGAGACGATAAGGGTGAGGCAAAAATATACAGCCACCCCCCCCCACCGTTTTCTAGTCGTTACTTATTAATTGTCAAAGATCGTTGTTTTTACCATATCCTAAAATTAGTCATACCTTCTCAAACTGCATTTCCACCTTCAACAATACGATGTTTAATTGTTTTCTACTGAAAACTGGATCTTTCCTAGCTCAAGAGAGATTTGAAACAGATGCCAAATAAGTAATCAGGACAGAGCTACTACTCCTCCGTAGAGCTTTTGTTACTTAATGCAAACGGATACCAAGAAGCTGAAGATGGCAGTGGAAGCGAACAGCCGTTACAAGGATATTCAAGAAGCTTCAGGTCCCACATCTACTTCTGTTAGTTGCTGGTGACAGCCTAAGCGTTTTAAAAGGAGGATTTGATTGTGTACCTGGTTTCAGTAAGGAAGAATACTGTGATCATACAGCGTCGGCTGCCGTTGGCAGGGAGTGGACTCTACACTACAGGCCCCAGCTAGTCCTTTATGGGCTCCATGTCCATCCTGTGACAAACTGTATGAGGAAACACTTCCTTTCCCTACTTTACAGGTGAGGAGCAAAGTTTCAGAACCAGAAAGGAACTCCACCAGACCACTACCGTAACGCTGCCTGAAAGCAGCAGCGACGACAACCCCGTCTTTCTAATCCAAGGCTCCCTTCCCTACCTGCTCATCTTGCTGATGCCCAGCACTTCAGCCCTGACCTAGCCGGCCGGAGTCTATTCTCGGTCAGATTTCACTGTGCCTCTCATAAGGTTGAGTCATATTGATGCTAAAAACATAAGTGAAGTTATTACATATGATACAAATTTACTATTGTCATGTGAGTAGAAAAAGTATGGTTATATGTATAATTAACTTTAAGTTATCTTTCTCATTACTGTATATAACTTTATATTAAAAACAAAGTGGCAGCTCAATGTGAATTATTTCACACATGTAAATATCTAAAATATATATTTGGCATTATAAATATTTTAGGTAACATATCTAAAGAAAAAAAATCACAAGGTCTTCTGAAAATTCCACTGCAACTTAAAAAAGCAGGTTTTATATTTACAATTCAAGAAAGGTTGTCATCCAACTATTACTCTGAGTCAATCTTAAGTTCAATATAAATACATTTGAGATACATTAATGCTCTCTTTCACCATCAGAAAGTTAGAAATTTATTCACACTTGCAACAGCTATTTAGAGCGCAAAAAAGACAGGAGTCAATTTTCCAGAGTGACATTGAAGCCTGACTGCAACTAAGCCCAGGAGCCTTAAATGTTGCCACCCTGGAAGGCAGTGATAGGAGCTAACCCAAAAGCAAACTTCTTTGCCAGGTGCAGTAATACTTCGGTTGTAGAACTCAATCAACTGGTTCCAAACTCATGTTCCAACACAGCAAAGTTTGAGTACTGAATATACTTTTCCCACAATGGAAAACCAAGCTAATTGCTTCTGAGGCTCGAAAATTAGACTTATAATTTCATTTTTCACAGACTCCATATCACTATGGAGGCTTGTAGCCTTCTCACATATCACTTCGCCATCAAGCTGCTTCTGATTTATCCAAATTAGCCATCACTTTCCAACCTCTTTGATGGTCAGGGTTCTTTGTTTCCTGGTTAACGAGTTCATACCTTGTTAGGCCGGGTTGACGAGAGAAACAAATTCATAGGCACTCATATGTGTTTAAGAAAGAGCTTCATATAAAAGAGTAATTGTATATTAATAAAACATCCCAGCCCAGTCCAGACCAAGTCCGTAAGCCCGATATTAGCCCATATGTCTGATACCAGTCGATAAATTCCTCTTCAGACTCACATAACACATGCAATGACGCCAAATGCTGGAAAATCACAGTCCAGTGGGTGAAAAGATTTGTGGATCCAGTGACAGTAGAAGCATCTCAGTGCTGGCGTGGGTCTCCACGTGACTCCTCCAACTCCTGGGCTCTGGCTTCCATCAGCGTAGCTCCATGTGGCTTGTCATCAGGAATACCAAGTAGAGAGTGTGTGTCCCACCTGGAGTTCCCAGAATCCTCAGGTAAGGGCCATGCCCACACAGAGGCATCATTGGCTATGACCTGATAGACAGGTTAGACTCCACCCCTTTGCAAGTTGACATAAGATAATGTAACTACTACAACACCTTTCACTATATTGGCTGCTTTAATCACCTTCTTTTATTTTTCTTCCCCCAAAATCTTGATAACATGGTCTTAACCATGTATTCAGCTGCTAAGTCAAACAAGCGGCAACCTGATTCAAATTTCGCAATAATTTCTCTCCTTTTCAAATTTTGCAACGATTTCTTACTTTAGCTGTATTGTTAATAGGTTTTAAAAAAAGATATGATGTATGGAGAAGTTGATTTTGTGGCTGATTCATGTCTCAGAGAGAAAATATTTGCCGCTGTCTGCCAAATGCTGCTACCTTGAGTTCTGGCCCTGGGCTTCGAATTTGATTGATTTGGGGAGTTAAGAAGACTGGGGGAGTCGGACCGGCTGCTGAGACGACATTTCACTGGGGCACTCTCCGCATATCATGGGGAGATAGACGCTGCTGCCTGTGAGTCTTGGGCCCTGGCAGCTGAGGAAGAAGAGCGGGAGGAGGGAGTCAGCACCTGGCCCGCAGTGGTTGATTGGCCTTGGTCCTAACAGCTCCAAAAAGAAGCAGGATCTTGATAAGCTCTATGAGCTGAAGTCCAAAGCTCGACAGATTATGAACCAGTCTGGCCCCTCAGCCTTAATCAACCTCTCCAATTCCTCGTCCATCAAACCAGAACCAGCCAGCACCCCTCCGCAAGGCTGCACGGCCAACAGCACGACGGTGGTAAAGATACCAGGCATTCCTTGTGCTGGAGGGCGGCTCAGCCCTGAAAACAATCAGGTATTGACGAAGAAGAAATTGCAAGATTTAATAAGAGAAGTGGACCCTAATGAGCAGTTGGATAAAGATGTAGAGGAGATGCTGCTGCAGATTGCTGATGATTTTATTGAGAGTGTGGTGACAGCAGCCTGCCAGCTTGCCAGGCATCGCAAGTCCAGCACCCTGGAGGTGAAAGATGTCCAGCTGCATCTAAAGCGCCAGCGAAACATGTGGATCCCAGGATTTGGCTCTGAAGAAATCCGCCCCTACAAGAAAGCTTGCACCACAGAAGCTCACAAAGAGAGAATGGCACTGATCCGGAAAACAACTAAGAAATCACCACGGAAGGGTCAGGGACTGGACAACAATGATTTGGAGATACTTGAGCTGAGGCCTCATCCATGGAATTTTTTTTTAAATGCTTTACAGAGAAGCATATATTTTTTATTAACAGTGCAGCAATATCTATAATGACTGAGAGGATCTGCCAAAAGAATAAAGTCTCCTACCCCACCTTTCGGTCCCTCTTCCCTGCCATCTCAAAGAGGAGCAGCGTATCTTCCAGAGAAGATTTCATTTGTGGTCTGTTATAGAAGTGAGTGAATGTGGGACACAGCGTTACGGTCTTGTTGGGGAGACAGTATTAGCAGGACATGTAGAGGTTTTTGTTTCCTTCTCCCCAGGCCTCTCCCTGTACTTTGCAATGTCAGTGTTTCAATGAACATGACTTTCATCTGCTTTTACAGAATAAAGAGGTTATTAATCGGGAAAATAAAGACTGGGGACATCTAGCAACCTTCACTCTTCTCATTTTGAGCCCCATGCGCCTACGATCACAGGGCACTGGTGGCGTAACAGTTATGCCTTGGGCTGCTAATCGTAAGTTCAGCAGTTTGAAACCACCAGCGCTTCTAAGGGGAAAGATGGGGCTTTCTACTCCCATACAGAGTTACAGTCTTGGAATCACTAACTTCCTTTAGAAGCTTTATGGCTGGTATCATTAACTTTCTTTGGAACCATGGTGATGATATTCTACACAAATAAAGCCCACACACATTTTAAAAAGCACAACGATGAATGTTTTAACACACTAACATAAACACCACTTGTAGTCTGAGCAAGAGGGGCACTTAGACTGAAGTGGCACCCCGTTGTGTCCAAGGTGACATGAGACCCATGACTCACAGGTGTTTTCAAGTGGGATTTTCATTCGACTATTGAGCAAAGTTACAAACACCAAGTCAATTTTTTTTTAAATCTCTGCTGTTATGAACAGTGGAAAGTTTGAGCTTGGAGGCTTTAGGCAACTGAGGTATTACTGTATAAATTTTGCAGGTGTTAAAAATATAAAATAGTGTATACCAGAGAACACCCTTTAACTGTGAACAGCGCGAAAGCTGGGACTCAGTCATTCTGAGGATCATGTTTAACTTTTCGGTCATGTGTGTTCAATGTGCTCTGCACTGGTCTTTGAGTTAGAAAGGCCTGGGTGCAAAGGGCTGTTTCCTTATCTCTGGGTAAGGAGCCCAGGTGGTATAGCCAGTTACAGGTTGGGCTTCAATCTGCAAGGTCCAAAGTTCAAAACCACCAGCGGCTTCAAGGGAGAAAGACAGGGCTTTCTACCCCTGTAAACAGTTACAGTCTCAGAAATTCTCAGGGTTAAATCCAGCGTGGCCGATAGGGTCACTATGAGTCAGTATTGACTCGATGGCAGTGAGATTGGTTTGCTTTATTTCTGGGTGACTAGTGCTATGACATGGAAAGAGTTACCTGACCACTCCTCAACTGTTGGAATGATGATACAGACGCACGGGGCAGTTGAGGCACTTGACGGACACGCATCATCTCTAGCAGAACTGCAGCCAGAGCATCCGTGCTACCATCCTTAATCTAAGAGTGCCTCAAAACTAAAAAGTTCAATGGCTTAGTGCAGAGTTGGCTTTTGATATGCACAATCTGGGCTTCATGAACATAGCTTAGAGTGTTAAAAACAAGCAGCTCTACCAAATTTGCAAGAAAAAAATCTATATAAGCATACTTAATGCTGATGGAGGCTTACTTAGTAAAACAACCACTCTTAAGACACCACCAACAGGAACCAGTACAATATTGCTGGGCATAAACAATTTAATAGCAAATAACTTAATCGCCTGCATTTAGATGTTCAAAGAGAGTCCTGGTGGCATAGTGGTTATTTGTGGGGCTTGAACTGCAAGGTAAAGAGTTCGAAACTACTGGCTGCTCCACAGGAGAAAGATGAGGCTTTCTACTAACGTAAAGAGTTACAGTCTCAAAAACTCACAGTGGAAGTTCTACTCTGCCCTACAGGGTCTCTATGAGTCGACACCAATTCAACGGGAGGGAGTTGAGTGAGAGATGTTCAAATCCTTTGCCTAAGTATCTACCTCAAGGAAGTAATTCTAATTTCAGAATGAGAAAATTACAGTAAAACTTCAATACAGCTACATTTTGTGATACTGAAAAAGTGGAAAACACCTACCCTCATGTCCAAAGAGAAAGGCAGGACATGGCTCCATACGACAGTAAACAGAACGCTATGAAAGGTTTAACGCCATGCAAAATCTTGTGGCACATGTTTAAAAACAAAAGATACACAACTGGATACTATTTCTTACCTACTCCTATTCTTAAGCAGAAGAAAAATGTCAAATTTCCCTAGGGAAATATGTCAAAATGTCAATAATGATTATTATTGGAGAGCAGAGTGTGAGTGGATTTGTATATGTGCATCTTTATGTGCTATCCATCTTTTGAATGCATTTGTTTATAAACTTGCATGGGTGTGTCTTTATGTATTATCTGACTCTTCTTATACTTTAAAAGGTCCAGTAATTATGCCATTTCTCTAATCAGGACATCCCATCTCATTCTTGAAAGATAGCCACTGCTCACAATGCTCGACATAGTCTTCTATTTTTAAAATACCTTTTAAAACTTTCTTTTACATTTAGAAACCTAACAGACATAGCTTCTATAAATGGTATCATTCTACATACACTATTATGTAACAATCATATCTGAGGTTCAAAATCAGAAGAATATAGTGTCATGACTATCTACCAAACTGTTGGATACTCTGGGAGAGCTATCAACTAGTGATTCTCTCTCCTTCCTCCTCCTCCTCTAGCACGCCTCTGGCTTTTCCTCTTCTCCCTACACTTCTGGAATTGGAAGAATTCCAGAAGAACATCAGAGACTGCCCTGGTAACCTGGACCTGCTGCCACAGGGCCTGAGTGACCACACTGAAGTGAATAAAAACACCCTCCACCTCTTCAGCAGGACAACGACGCCTATTTTATCCTCAACTTCTCCCAACTCAGAATTTCTCCCTCGTATTGGCATTACTACCTACTGGGCAGGAGGAATCACAGAAGGGAGGCTATTAATACCAAAAAAAAAAAAAAGACTTCAGAATCTATCTGATTCATCTCCATTGGCAAGGGAGAAGTCATGAAGTCCAGAAATGTTAACCGCCCTTTGCGCAGGGACTCAAGTTGAAAGGCAAAGCCAAGCAGGAGTGAAGAATGCAGGCTCAAAACAGAAAACACTGTGGCTTTCTGTAACCCTACTCCCGTCTCAACACTCCCACCTCCAGGCTTCACTGGCTCCTCGTCTGACGCAGAGAACCTGCTCCCACCACATTCCTGCTACTTACTCTCTGTCCCTGACATGGGAAGCTATCAGGGGTGCCCTACAGCTGCTGCTAGGCACACAAATAGCTCTTTCTTCTTGACCCCAGTGACCCTCATAGGTGGGGGAGTGTGAACAGGTCCTGGCAAGAGTAAAAGGCAGAATAATGAAAGAAAAGTAAGAGAGTGAGTGAAATGATTCCCTACTTATCTTTCTCACTATAACTTTGTATCTTGATAGGCTTCACACTCCCGGTGAGCATCTTTTCAGTAGGCTACACTAGCATACTGTTTGGTGCAATGCTTCCTATATCAATTATTGTTGTTGTATGCCAGCAAACGGATATCCACTCATTCCCAAAAAAACAAAACAAGTCCTTTGCCATTGAGTTGATTCCAACTCAAAGTGCCTCTATACAGGAATTATGAAGCTGTAAATCTCTATGGCCACCAAGCTTCCATTTTCTTCTGCAGAACGACTGCTCAGTTTGAGCTGCTGACCCCATGGCTGGCAGTCCAGTGCCTACCCAGTGGCATTGCGTTTACACAAAGTATTATTGTTGCATACCATTCGATGCATTTCCACTCTTTTTTTTCTCCCTGACTGCCATTGAGTCAATTCTAACTTATAGCGACCCTGATGGAATAGTGGGTTATAAGTTCGAAACCCAGCCCCATTTACAGGAGAAAGATGCGGCATTCTGCTTTCTACTAAAGATTTATAATCCTGGAAACCCACGGGGGCTGTTCTACTCTGTCTTATAAAGTCGGCAAGAGTCAGAATTTCCACACCTAACAAACTACCCATGCCTCCTATGTCTATTAAAAGCAAGCAGGGACCACTGTGAGGATGGCAAGAGCCAAGCAGTTTGTTCAGTAGCACACAGGCTCATATCAAGTCGGGGCCAATCTGACAGCACCCAAGAACAACAGAGCTTTGCCGTCTACAAGGCCACGAGCCATCTTTGATCTAAATTGAGATGTGCTGTTTGGGTAAAATACACTGCATTGCGAAGATTTAGAATGAAAAAAATATACCTTGTTAGTGATCTTGAATTGCTAATGATATTGAAGACATGCTGAAATAATACTTGGGTTATGTATTGGGTTAAATAAATGTATTGGGTTAAATAAAATATAAGATAAAATAAAAAATTTAAAGCAAATATGACAGCTATGTTATAATGCAGCAAGAAAGACACCGTGGGACAGGAGACAATCCCTACATCATGAGCTTCCAATAGCATCACAGTTATTCAGGGTCCCCGAGAAATGTGGATCTCAAACTGTGCTACCTCGTTAGCACGTCTGGCAGAAAACCAACCCTCTCTCATGTTATGGACTCTCTATACGCAATGTCTATTTTGGAGAGCATTTGTGCATGAGTTGTTGATCCTCAGGATCAACAGGATCACTAAGTCAACAACAATACAATTAACCCTCGGGCAATATGGGTTTGAAGTGCAGGGGCCCTGCTAAGCACCGGTGAGCTGAGTGATGTGAATGATCTCACTTGAGTAGTCAGTCTTTCCAGTTAGGGGAGATGGAAAGGTGAGACGCTAGCAGTTACTGGAGAGACAACATCTTCTTTCATGGGAAGGATTCGTCGCACACAGCAGCATGTTAAGCAGACACTCGTGAGCTCACGGCCATGCTGTTGCTGCTGTACTGTTGACTCCGTTCTGACTCGCAGCACCCGTGTCCAAGAGAACAAGCCACCGCCTGCTCCTGCACCAGCCTCACAGTGGTCATCATTTGAGCCTATTATTGCAGCCACTGTGCTCATGCCTCTTGTCAAGGGTTTTCTTTGAAGCTGGCCTTCTACTTTTGACTACAATAGCAATCAGGAAAAGGAACCCAAGTATAATTGAGCCCAAACACATGCTTTTCAAGAGTCAACTGTAATCATTTACTAAAAAAGTCCTTGTTATAGGAACTGTAAAAAACACAAGAAATCCTTCAATGGTCATTGTAAGTTTCCTTGTGAGATCAGTAAATCTGGTTCCCTTCTTCCAGTTAAGCTTCGAAAACACACACGAAGGATGTCATTAATCTGAGATAATCCCACAGAAATTTGTTTCTAAATAATGATGATGAAGAGTTAGGAACACTCAAATCACTCATCAACGTCACTCGGGCAAAAGGACAGAGAGCTAGAACATGATTCTGACTCAGGAAGTGGGTACTTAATCAACTATATGGATCGGACCTTATTTATAGAACAAACTATGTCAGAAAATAATGTGGAAGAAGTGAGTCGGCCCAGGCCAAAGGACCAGTAGCTGGCAGTGTTTATTCTTAGCATCATCCAGGAAGATCAAAGGTGATTCATCTCATCAATAAGAACACTGTAGTTTATCATATAGTAGAAGATACTCAACAGAACTCACCATGGCCCAACTAAAATACCACTAGAAAATGCAAACAGCCACTAAAAAATACATAGACAACCTTCAGAATCCTCTTTAGTCCCCCTGGTTATGAACATCAGTGCCCTGGATTCTCACATGTATTCCTGAGTGAAGCAATCAGGTGAACATTTAGCCACTACCTACAAGGCTGGCTGCTCAAATCCACCTAGAGGCACATCTGAAGAAATGCCTGACTCTGTGCTTGCCACAGGAAACCCTGTGGGGCACAGATCCACAGTGAAATGCAGTGGGTGGCCACGAGTCAGAAACAACGTGGTGGCAAGAGGTTTTCATTTTGTTTTCGTCCACTGTTGCTGGGAATGCTTGTCTTTACTCTATTCCCATCTCCCTGAGCTGCTCAGTGGGCATCTAAATTACCCGGAACACCATCATGGCCAGGGGGCAGAGCTCGGGGCCCCCAGGGAGTGAGTTATCTGAAAAGCAGCATTGGGCTTTGCCTGTGGCATCTGCCACTTCTGTTCGGAACACAGATACCTCAGTGCCGGCTTTCTAGATGGAGGGGGGGGGGGTTTGCGGGGAGTGGGGTGGTGGTGTTGGTTTTGTTGTTTTTCCTGAACTAATTTTGGAAAGAGAGATCATCTGATTTGCCAATCACGCTTATTCTTGCTGTGTATGTGGTCTTTTCTGTTTGAATGTGAAGCTTATTAGATGATTTGTAAAAGAAAAATCATGGCTGTTTTTCTTGGATGAACAGAATATGCCACGCATTTTTAGTAAACACCACCATCCACAGAGCTGTTTGTCTAAGAAGCTAATCAGGGGATTCTGAAATCACCCAGAGCATTAGCCCTGGCAAGGCGTGGTCTACTTTTAATGAATAATTTATGAGAACTGGCGTTAGAAAAACAAGCTGGAGTTTTATTCTGGCAACTAGCAAATCGGGCTGTAAAAATATTAGGGACTAATTCAGAGGCTGTTTTGTGGCTGGTGGGGGTGGCGGGTGTCCTAAAATGGCAAAAGGATTACGTAAAGTCTGTGTTTCCGTTAGTCGCTGCAACCCAAGTTAATGTAGTTAATGCAGTTAGAAAAATCTCCCTTACAAAATGCAGTTAGCCTAGGCTGCTTTACTTAATGCAGGCTCTGCGGGATTGTTCTAGCTTGCTGTGCTGCTCAAAAGCAGGCGGGATAGAGTGAGATGTCTCCCCCGGTGTCCCGGACCAAAAGCTAGACCCCGCTCTCTAGTCTAGAGTCAACAAAAACTTCTTTTGTTTGCCTGCTCCCAGTCAATGGTGGTTTCCCGTAGTTACCCTGAAACTGATGTTAATGTCAAACATCTGTATGTGACTCCCCAAAGTGTAAATCCCAAGACAAAGGGTATATATGCCCTATGTTTCTGATTTCAAACAGGATACCACAAGACTGTCTGTTTTACTATGGTCTCCCTGTGGGAATACCTTCTAAATAAAAACTTCTTTCTTCCTCTGACTTGGAGTAAATGGACTACGAAGCTCGAGTAAAATACTTGCATTTCAAATCTTTCATATGTGTGTGTGTGTATAAACACATACATATATACGTACATGCACATACATACACACATGCATACACATACCATTCATAGGTTATATGTTGGGCTGCCATCCACATGGTCAGCAGTTCGAAACCACCAGCAACTCCAAAGTAAAAAGACAGCTTTCTACTCCTGTAAACAGTCTTGGAAACCCACAGGGGTCGCTATGAGTCAGCATTGACTTGATGACAGTGAAATTGGTTTTGGTTTTACTTACACACACACACACACACACACACACACACACACACACACACACCTACCTAAAAGTCACTATTATTGTCCCATTCTCAAAGGCCCAGACTCAGACTGCACCCAGTGCTAACAGACCTTTGTTGAAGGCACTTTGGGGAATTTTCCACTTCACTGTTTGCCTCAGCAAGTGACCAAGGTTAGATACAAAATGAATCTTTCTGGGGTGAGATTTGCAATGTAAACTGACTGTTAGCTGCCGTATGTTTCTACCAATCAGAATTCTCCTTCCCTCTTAGCTCGGCTGAAGCCCTACACAGTTAGTTTGGAAAAGTGCCATGGGGAGTTCTACTCTGCACACTGGATCCATCTGAGTCAAGAGTGACGGAACGGCTCTCCACAGTAACAAAGTGATTTTACCAGGGCTGGTTTCAGACGAATAAAAAAACTAGGATCTTTAAGAAATAAGCAACCAAAGACATATAATGGTATAATACAGACTAGCCCAAAACTCGTTGGACCTTAAAAGTTAATGAAGTATATGATAAAATATGTATGTATTCACTTTCTGGAAAATCCTGTTGAAATTCAGGAATGTTAACCTACACAGGATATAGAGAATAAGCTTTCTTTCCCCCAAAGTATTCAAAGCTGAAATAGAAAGTGAGGAAACAAAATACGAACTAAAACTGAGTAAAAGGACTTTGTAAAATTTGGCCTGTACCTTGTATTTCAAAGACAACATCCGCAAGCATTGGCTTATTAAGGAAAAACTTGAGGGAAGTGTTATAGAACCAAAGAGGTTTTCTGGCTTGATAGGTCTTGCAATTCCTCAGGCAGTTAATCTACAAGTAAAAACAAAAGAAAACAAGGTGTGAGGTTGTACAACATGCCTTACGAATATACATTAGCTGTTAGAGAATATGCAAAACTGTGATAACTTTCTAAAGAAATAATGATTACGTTCTGGCAAGTCTGATCAGAGCTTCCAGAGAGACTTACCCTCATGAATTAAATCCGGTCTAGCCCACAGCGAGAGGCAGGAGCGTGTGCACAGGTACAGATGAGAGATAAGAGCTCACGACACGCGGAATCCAGGAACAGGAATGGGAGTAGTGATACCAGGTGGGTAGGGGGAAGGTGGGGAGAAGAGGGGAGAAAGGGGGAACCGATCGCAATGATGGACACATAACATCCGCCCCGCCCTCCCATAGGGGACAAACATCAAGAAACCATGGGGGAAGGGACACAGCTGTTGGTGTAAGATATGAAAATAAATGATACATTAAATTCATAACTAAAATAGAATCAAGGGGTCACAAAGGTGGGAGGGGAGAGGGAGGGAGGGAAAAACAAGGAGCTGATGCCAAAGGCTCAAAAAGAAAGTAAATGTTTAGAAAATAATGATGGCAACATATGTACAAATATGCTTGATACAATTGATGTATGGATTGTTGTAAGAGCTTTAAGAGCCCCCAATAAAATGATCTTTTTTAAATTTTAACATTTTATTAGGGTCTCATACAACTGTTATCCCAAAATGATCTTTTAATAATGACCTTAAAAGAATGATATCAGCTCCTTGTTAACAGCAACACTGCTCTTATTCAGTGCTGACTATGTGACAGTCAGTCACTACAGCTGATGAGTTACATGGGCCTGAATCCCCACAAGTCTTTGTTTTCTGGGAAAGAGCCCATACCAGTCCAACCTTACATGAATGCCAAGTAAAACATGTTTTCATGTATAATCTGCCATTTTGGTCACTAATTAAGGATAGACTTAAATGTTTAATTTGTCATTTTTAAAATGACATAACAAATTTGCATTCTTTTCTATCATAACATATCCTATTACTGCTAACTAGCTCAGGATTTTCTCCCCAAAGCATAGATATAAAAATACTTGAGAGTGACAGACTGGTTTATCTCCATTTTTATATCCCATAATCCTAAGTACCTTCCCCACTACTCGTAAGAGACTATTGGATCTACGAAAGGATGCCTGGATCTTTCACTTGAAACGTCAGATCATCTCTTCCCTGGACAAGCCTTCTCCATCCGTCCTCTCTTGTCTGCCCTGGTGCTCCGCACCCCTTCCTGGCTTCCCATTCGGAGCTGGGGGCTTTGTCCTTTCTGTGGTCCTCAGTCCCACTTCCATCCCCTATCATGAATGTTTTAGACACCCCTTGGTTCTAACTCCAGAAGTTGAGAGCCATTCCCCCTTCCCTTTCCCTGCACCCATGTCCCTAATGAATCTCAGAGGCTCAGCTCCAATCAGAGTCCTGGGCCTATTTGGCTAGCTCTGGAACTCAGCCCATTTTATCTCTAAGAAATCATCTAATATATAAACTCAGGGGGAATGAGAGTGAATGGCATTTATATGTAAACCAAAATCCAAACTCAGGGCTACTGAATTGACTTCGACTCATAGACACCCTACAGGAAAGGGACCAGTGGGTCAATCCGAGTCAAAGGGAGTAAGCAGCTCTCCACAACAACCAAGTGACTTGACGCGGGCTGGTTCTGCCACAGGTACAACTGCCCCTGTGGGTTTCTGAGGCGAGCCATCCACAGGAGTAGAAAGTCCCGTCTTTCATATATATATCTCCGACATTTATGTATAATTCCATAGCCCCATCTTTCATATATATATATATATATATAT